GAGCGCCTCCGCCTCCATCTCCCCGAGTGGGTACTCTTTCTGGGTGTACAGCATGAGCCGCCTCCCAGCAATCGTCGCGGTGGTGAGGGACGTCACACGCCGAGGCCGTTGCAAAGGGTTTGCTTCAAAATAAGCCCACACGCGCGAGAGTGTCCTGACAGTCTCCGCCCACGTTGCCCCCATGTCCCTCGACTCGAACACCTTGCGGCCAAACATGCAGTCGGCAATCATGAGCAGCTGCCCCGCCTCCCACTCGGTAAGGAGGGGTGAAGTGCACTCCGCAGGGGAGCATCCCCTTCGGGAGCACCCAGTGTTGGCCCTCGTCCCTTGAATAGATGATCGTGGAGACAGGGGAGGACCCTCTCCTCCGCTTTGCCACCACAGGAAACACAAGCGCGCCACTCGCCATCACAACGCCTGAGCCACCAGCACCAAAAAAATCCCTCTAGGTCGCGGTGTAGAGCGGATAGGGCGACCTGTGGCAGCAGCTGTTGGGGCTGGCCCCATTGGATCTGTTTGCCTTGCGTGGCCTCACCCACCAGCAACTCAAGACTCCAGTCACCTCCCTGCCAATATAATTCAGTAGTGTTGTAGGCCAAATCGTAGCTTCCCACAAGAAGAAAAACTTTGTTGTCCTTTGCAACTGTGGTGGGGTAAAACGCACGGCCCACATGATTCAATTGGCTGGTTCGCGCAAAGACGGTGTGAGCCTTCCAGTTGCTTGAGTTGATCTCGGCGACAAGAGACGCCCAGCTCCCCGCAGCGTCGATGTACCCCGCCACAATATCAGAATAAGTGTACCCCACCAAATGATTATTGGGGTCTGTGTAGTCGATGTGACCTTCGGCAAAAGCAACCAAGACGCCACCAGCACTGGCGAGCGAAGGTGCGGAGAAGGAATCTTTCGATCGTCTTCCACCGTCCACTTCCACCTGCGTCTTCTGTGGCACGAAAAGCCCAACACTCTGCGGCAGTTGCACTTCCTTTCGTTCACTCCCCTCAGCGTGCACAGCTCCACAGCCGCAGCAGCATATCCACAGCACGAAAAGGAGCAGCGGCACCGCAGCGGAAAACAGACGCCGCGGCATGTTGGGCCTCTCCCTCTTACTTCCCTCCTTGCGGTGGGTCCTCTCAGGCCGCGATGGTTGTGTTTGTGTGCGTGTGTGTGTTGCTGGCGGTTGTGGCAGCTGCAGAGCCCTCAAGGCGCACAGTAGCGGCAGCAAGCGGCGTTTGGCCTCTCTTTTCCTTCGGCGTGTTTGTGTGCGTGGGGGCAAAAAGAGAGAGGCGGAAGAATTGAAGAGGAGAAAACAGGCGACGATGCAAACAAGGCGCACTCGGGACGCACAACTGCCCTTCAGCAGCACAACACTCACGCCGCAAATGTCTGCGTCCACCCCGCGGAGGAGAAAACAAATAAACGAGAAAATAAAGAGGGGGAGGCGCAAGTGCCCGGCCACAGCGCCCCTGG